CTCCATCTCTTCATGCCACAGTAGCACATGGCACTGGCCCACCCTGAGCCAGCCAATCCCAGATAAGAACTGATAAAATCCCTCCACAGTCTTCTCTTCTCCAGACTAAAAAGACTCAAGTCCCTCAGCCTTTCCTCATATGAGTTCCCTAATCATCTTCATAGCCCTTTGCTGTCCCCTCTCCAGCAGTTCCCTGTCCTTCTTGAACTGGGGAGCCCAGAACTGGATGTGAGATGGGTCCTCACGAGGGCAGAGTAGTGGGGCAGGAGAATCTCCCTCCACCTGCTGGCCACACTCTTTTTGATGCACCCCAGGATGTCACTGGCCTTCTTGGCCACAAGGGCACATTGCTGGGATATGGTGGCTTAGGAGCAGCACTTGCAGCTATTTCTGCCCCAGCAAACCTCACCTCAACAGCAGAGCTGCTGGGATCTCCTGCAGGCTGGCCAGATTTCCCAGGGGATGGAGTGGGTGGCAACTGAGTTCCAGCCAGCTCCTCCCCAGCTGGGAACTGCAGGACATGCAGGACACGCTCTACTCTTAGCCAGTGACTACAGCTCCACCACAGTTCAAGTCTGAAAATGGGGTCCAGCAGCTCAAAAATGGCCCGAGAAAGAAAAGCAGAAGCATACTTTTGTTGCTATCTTAATTTACAAACCAAATTAAACTACTTCAGGACAACCGTATTTGTATCTCCGAAGGTTCTTTGAAGCCTGAGTCAGCAAAGTGATGCTCAGCTCTAAGCACGTGATTTGCAATCTATCAGGTTAAGCTGGGAGTTGAGGGAGTAACCATATAAACCCATCACTTTAACCCATCACCTTCTGAGTTTTCCTTTTTCCTTCCCATCAAAAAGGCAACTTTACCCATAATATGTGTGTTCGTAAAGGATCATTGGTTTCAAGTGGTATCCTCCAAAATTCTTGAGTTAGAACAAACTGAGACAGTCACTGGCCACTTTCCTTATTGTGTTTTTTTCAAGAGAAAAACGAGTTTGGTTAAAAAAACTAATTTTCAGGTTTGATTTGATTCTTTAAAGTGGAAAATAATAAAATAAAATATAAAATTAAATAAAATAAAAGTAAAATAAGCTAAAATAAAATAGTACTATTTCTTCCTCATTAATTCTTACTTTCATGTTTTCAGCTCCTGTTCTCATTATGTTTTATTTTTCAGGTCATTTTGGGAACAGAAGACTTTCCTGTGTCCTAGGAATTTTCCTGGGGTGGAAAGAGCTGTTTTCTGCCTGGTCTATAGGTGGGTTTGGAGAACCTCAAGCCCAGAAATCCTAGACAGACCAAAGTCAGCTGGTGTCTTCCAGTGCTACTAACATTACCAGGCCTCTCATTTCCTGCAATCCAAGTGTCCTTGTGGTTGGGAAGCTGCAATCTTGGTCTCAGATCTGTGTTGTCCAGCCTGGTTCCACATGGGAAGTGGCTTTACCCGGAGCCTACAGAGTTGACCAGCCTGTGGTTTCTTGGAGAAACCTGGGCTGTCATCCTCAGTGGGGATCTGTGCTGAGGATGGAAAGTGTGGGCGTTCTGCAACCCCTCAATTCTCCTGGCATAAACCTGATCCCACCACATTTCAATTAGACAGCAACTCTATTTATAAGGTACGTGGGTAAACATGTAACTGTACAGAGTTGCTACAGATGATAGAGAAATAAATTAACTTTTAATTGCATGTGCCAGAGTAGCCCTGTGACTTCCACTCTGTTTTGGATGGCTGGCATGGCTCTGGCTACCTTTCCCAACTCATGTTTGTGGGAACAAAGGCATCCAGTGACTTCAGCAGAGCATCTCTCTTCCTTGGAGATGGCAGCTGCTTTTCAGAAAAGGTAGCTCTGCAGCTTTCCCCTGCGACCAGAACTATGGGAAGAAATTCCAACACAGGGACATTTGAAAAAAGCATCCCAGGGAAATAAAAATAAAAAAATAAAAAAAAAATTAAAAGGAGGGTAAGAGTGAAAGAAAAAGACAAAAACCCAACACCCTCTCCCATGTCTCAGAGTCAGAGGGCCAGCCATTGGGAAACACAAGTCTGGATTTGTGTCTGATAAACTGATCAACTCCCTTTGGATGAAGGAAAAGACATGCAGATACTTCAGAAGTGATGCCAACCAGTTCCTGACTTAGGGGAGGAAACTGTTACAATTCAGGTTAATTTCTGTGAAAGGCACCGCTTTTCTGGTGATGTAAATTAATACATTCCCATTAACCACCATGGAAGCTCTCTGGTTTTCTCCTGCTGAGCTTCTGGACCTGGGTCTACCCCCAAGTGGAGAAGGAAGACCTGGTTGCTGGACTGGATATGGTATTTTGCTTTCACCATCCCCAACAGCAAAAACTAAGACACTGGTCTGCATTGAAATGCTCTTAAGTGATGGAGGTGAATGTGACAAAGAGACAAAACAACCCTCGCTGCAGAGCTTGGTCCATGTCCACCCTGGCCTGGCTTTGGGTCTTGCTTCCAACTCTCTCAATGGAGCAGGGCTTCTAGGAAGGGGGAACAATTGCTCGAGAAAACGGGAGGCCTTTTTCCTCTCTGGGGTCAAACAAAAGGGCAGAGAGAGTTGCATGGATCTCTGTTCAGGAGCATCAGGAGCACAGATGTAGCTTTCTGTGCGTCGCCCTGTTCAAACATCAAATTCACTCCGTGACTTCCAGAAAGCCACATACTAGTCCTGCCTTCCCCCTCCTCTGCCCCAGGTTGAGCACCAGTAGGTGACAAATGAGAACAGGGACTTTCTAGGGAAGGGCTGCCCTGCAGCTCCTGCCTCTTCATGATGTTGATACCCCTGGGTGCCCAAAGAGGACAAACTCCATGGGAACCTCTACGCTTACCAACTCACTTCTTCCTTGGCCTGGGAAGATGGGATCAGTTTTAACTCAGGCAGGAGATAAGCGAGGGGACTGGGGGTGGAGCGGTGGGTGTCCCAGTGCCCCCAGCAGCGTCTGCGCTGCTGTCACTGCGGTGCCACCAATGGGCACCGGCTGGGGGGCTGGCACACCCTGCCCGCTCTGGCAGGGCTGGCCAAGGGCTCCTGCAGGGCTGTGTTCCTGTCCCCAGCCCGCGGCCACTGCCAGGCGAGGAACGACAGAGCTCGGAGGGGCAGCAGAGTTTGGCAGCAGGGCCGGTGCTGCTCCCCGCACAGCCCTGCCTGCACAGCCCTGCCTGCACAGCCCCTGATCACACAGCCCTGCCCGCAAAGCCCTGCCTGCACAGCCCTGCCTGCACAGCCCCTGATCACACAGCCCTGCCCACACAGCCCCTGATCACACAGCCCCTGCCCTCACCCCAGCACCCAGGACATGGGTGCTGCCCAGCCCATCTGTGCAGAGGGAAGGGCAGCAAGGTGGCTGCCAAGGGACATGGGCACCAGCCTCGCACCTTGCTGCTGCTGCTCACTTGGGACTGTGTGTGCCAGCTGCAATCCAGCTGGGAGCTCTTCCTGTTCCCCAAGCTCCTCTCCAGCTGCTCTTCTCTCAGTTGGGGCTGCAGGGTGGGTTAATGTGTGTGACTGCAGCTGCTCAGGCCCTACATCCATCAGGTTTACAGCACCACGTGGAGGTGACTGCCTATGCATCCCAAAGTTTATTTTACTGCCTTACAGTGCAACGAAGCCCAGAAAAATATTTTGAATGTCCACTTTGCTCCCACACAGTTTGTGTTTCAATGTAAACCCCCTGCATGGGCAGAGACACCTCCCACCAGCCCAGGTTGCTCCAAGCCCCATCCAACCTGCCCTTCAACACTGCCAGGGATGGGGCAGCCACAGCTTCTCTGGGCAACCTGGGCCAGGCTCTCACCACCCTCACAGTCAAGAATTTGTTCCTAACGTCTCACCTAAATCTCCCCTCTTCCAGTTTTAATCCATTTCCCCTTGTCCTATGGCTACATGCCCATGTCAAAAGTCCCTCCTCAGCTTTCCTGTAGGCCTCCTTCCCATGAAATGCTCCAGGGAAATCTGAGCCCAGCTCTTAAAATCAGGGTTAATTTGGGGGATGAAGGAACACTACACCAAGCCGGAAGAAGAAGAGTGATAGACAGTTGGCAGCAGTTGTCTTTACTATGGACCACAGGAGATCAGAAAAAGAACCTTGTTAACAAGAGAACTAGTGCCTAACAAGATGTCATGCTAGAGGACATACAGAGGCCAAGCACAAATCACCAGAACAAAACGGCAACCAAGGAGGAAAGGGAGCCCCAGGGTGGGGCACAGGTGGTGTGGTAGCTGCCCTATAGCAAACCTCTGGTGGTGGGACCAGCCCAGCTGTGTGCACATCTGCATGTGCATGGGGCTGGCTGTGTGGGCTCCTTTTGTCTTTAGAACAAGTCAAAGGGTCTTCTCCTCTTGCACAACTCCAGTGTCTCCAGACCAATTATTATTAATACTTTTTTTCAGGAAAAAAAAAAAAATAGGTTTTTTGTTCCAAGAACTATGTGCAAGAATTGTTTCTCCAGATACAGAGAAAGGAGGGCAGAGAGGAAAACACCCTCAGTGCTCTCCTTGTGACTCCTCCCCATTCCTCATTGACACCACAACCCTCCCCAGCCATCCTCTGTGGCTTTGCCTTCAGTGAATCCCAAACACGGCTTTTCAGAAAAAGAAGAAAGAAAGGAAAAAAAATAAAGGTATTGCTGCTTCTTCTTGTAATATTTTTTTCCTCTCTCTCCCCCCTTTTCCCCTTAAAAATGTTTACTTTCAAAAATTCCATTCCTGCAGAGATTCCTCCCGAGCTCTGAGGTCTCTGCACTCCACCCTCTTCTGAAGTCAGAAAACCCGAGTCTCGATGTCTCTTTGGTTAAAAAAAAAAAATTAAAGAAAAATAAAAAAACAAACTAACACAAACAAATAACACACAACCCAGTATGATCCCATTCCATGGCGTGGATGCCTGATGAGAGGGTGTCTGTGGAAGAAGGAAGCATCAGAGACGAGCTGTCTGCTCTCTGGAAGCTGAGGTCCCCGAGCTGCCTGCCCGGCTCTCCTCCTCTCATACGGTGGTCGCTGGCCCATACTGGAGCACCAGAGGGGATGTCTCCTTGATCCGGACATAGAACCTCCCCTCAGGCCAGGTAGTTTGGAGGGAGAGAGGCAGGAAGTCATCAGGAAGCCACCGCTCACTCTCGTCAGAGGCGAACACCAGTCCGAAGTGCTGCAGCTGCTCCTCGCTGTAGCAGAAGGCAGCTGAGCTGCCCAGCATGTCCCGGGAGACGTCGTTCATCTCCAGCACCACCAGCTTCACCACCTCCCCAGCAGATGTCTGGCTGGTGATGTGTAGCTGTGGAAAGAGAAAGGTGAGAGAGATGGATGGTAAGGGGGAGGAGTGAGGAGGGACCAGAGGGCCACAGACATGGCATGTGCTACAGTGGTGCCCGTTAGGGTGGAGGAAGAGCTGCCCCAAAGGTGCTCAGGGACAAAGCACCACTGTGAAGCTGTAGGTACATGATGCCTGGGGACACCTGGTGTGCTGGAACCACAACTTAGGCACTGCTCTCTGCCTCCACTGCACCCTCTGAGTCCTTACAGCACAACTCTTGCACATGTCACCCATGTCTTGCCCACTCCACTCAGGCTGCCCCACTGTCCCGCTGCAGCCAGAGAGAGATAGTTCCAGCCCTGCTCCTGGCACCATGGAGGGAGCTGCTTGAAGTCCCTCTCATGAGTGGGATCCAGACTGTCAGACTGGCTCAACCACAACGGCTCTGCCGTGGGAGCAGTGCTGAGCTGAAGCCTCTCTGGGCAACAATGCTACATCTTATCCTGCTCACCAGCTTGGGATTCTAGCACCAGTCACCCTCACTCTCCCTGTCCACTTCCTTGGGGACTGAATCCCAAATACAGCCAAGGGAACAAGCTCATCTGGGCTCTGGCTGCCATCAGGAGCCCACTATTTGACTTCAAAGGCCCTAACACGGGAAACCCATCCTTGCCCGGGCAAGGCGATGGTCTCCTTTGGCACAACCATCAGGGTTTCCAGAGCACCGTGAGCAGTGCCCTGGCAGGGTGGTCTGAGCCCTCAGCCCACGTGGACTCTGCCAGCTCCCAACAATCATCGCAGGGCTCAGCTGATTTACACCAGCCGAGAAGCCTTCCCTTTGAACTTGGCTTTCTTCGAGAAGAACATCGTAAAACGCTTTGAGCAGGCGTGTCCAGAGCTCTGCAACTTCAAAAGCCACGTGGGCAGCCCGCCAGGAACCCAAGGGCTGTGCTTCAGTTGCATAGAAATCTATGGTAATTTCTCAGATGAAAAATAAATACTGCAAGTCAGAGTCCCCTCTGCTCCTAATGTTCCTGCTGGGTGTGGAGAAACTGGCTATCAAAACTCGCCAGCAATAAAACCCATTAGCCTCCTGGCTCTGTCCTTCCTCTGCCATTTTATGGGCAGGCTGTGCTCAGGCTGCCCTGCCAGCCTCTGCCTGGGCACTGGGTATGTTGGAAGGGAAATTTCACCAGAGGAAGGAGCTTTGTGCCTGAGTGCAAAGGAGGTAGGAGAACTGGAGGGAAACCTGCCTGAGATGTGTGTCCTGGGGGATCTCCTCCATGAGGAATCCTACCTGCAGCAGATGAGGGTGATGAGAGCTGGGGGGTCAGCTCTCAGCAACAAAGACCTCAAGGAGAGGAACCATGTGGCTCCAGTGGACTCCAATGCCTGCAGCCAGGAGGAAGCTCTGCCTGCTCCCCTTCAAGGGCTGGAGATGAGCAGCTCCTGCTCTCCCTTCCCCCATGATACAGGGCTGAAGCAGAGACTGGGGAGGCTGTGGGAGGGCTGGGGACAGGGCAGGGGGGTGACAGCTGGATTTTGGCCAGGGTGGGGTTGATGTGTTTGACCACCAGGACATGATGAGGGGAACCCATCAATTTGACCTTTGCTCACTGCCTGCCTATGCAGGGTGGCACTAACCTACTGTCAGGTGCATGGACCAAGAGCTGAACCACAGATCCACTGCCTGGTGCCCCTAAACCCCTTTCCCATGGCCCTGCCTCACCCCCTCCGCAGCAGCAGCCGTTCTCCCGCAGAGCCACAAATCCCATTTGGCACTGCCAGAAGCCTCATCCACCTGCAAGGACAACGGGATGCAGGGTGGGTGTGCTCCAGGGAACCTCAGCCCCAGGACGGTGGAGGACAGAGAGGGCAGTGCCAGGCTAGGGGCACACCAGCCCCTGCGCCCACCTCCCCATTCTCTTGGCCCTTTCCAGCTGGGTATGGCAGACCCACAGTGCTACCTCTGGCAGGCTCCAGTACCTTGACACTGGTCTCTTTGGAGAGTCCCGTTTCATACTGAGGGCAGACCCGCAGGGTGACAGAGCCCGGCTTCTTCCCTCGGTCAGCCAAGCACTCAGGCTGCTCCAGCTGCTCCTGGAAGTTCTGAGTCCACTCGACCGAGCGCGTTCGGAAAACAGGCTCCGAGCCCTGCTCTCCCCGGCTGCGCTCGGGGCTGGGTGCTGAGCCAGTCCCCAGCCTGAGCTGGCTGCAGTGGCCCATGGTCCTGCTCTCTGTTGGGGAGCTATCAACAGAGCCAGGGCAGGACTTCCTGGCCACCTGGCAGAGCGGTTTGGGGAAGTCCAGGCTGCTGGTCCGCACGCAGTACGCCTGCCGCTTCTCCGTGATGCGCAGCAGCTCGATCTGCCGGCTGGGCAGGACGAAGTCGCTGTCATAGAGCTCTGGGGGTGGCCGGGGCTCCTCTGGAGCTGGCGGTGGCAGTGGTGGGGTCTTCAGCTCGGGGGTCTGCAGGACGTCTGGGGCCCCG